CACCATGACCAATTTCTGATTCCAGAACATTGTCAACACCCAAAAAAAGAATCTGTATCTCCATTAACATCATTTCTTACTAAAACCGCTTATCTTCCTGTCTCTTGGATCTTCCTGTGCTGGACGTTTCCTGTAGATGAACTCATGTCATGCAGGACTCTGCGTGTGTGACCAGCCCCTCTCCCTCTTTTCTTCATCTCAGTGGTGGCACCATGTCAGAACCTGGTTTGTGTATGACTGGATGGTGTGGCTCCAGCCCGTTTTGAACTTGCAGTCATCAGTAGGTGGGCATTTGAGCTATCCTTTGACTCTCTTCGCTGTTAGGAACAGTGTTGCTGTAAGTGCATTTATATACCAGAGTTTGTGTGGGCTGTGTATCAGCTTCTGCTGGATATATGCTTAGGAATGAAATTGCTGGTTTATATGTTTCAATTTTGAGAACTGCCACATTGTTTCAAAATGATTATACCACTTTTCTTTGCCACCAGCAATATATGTTTTTCTTGCTAGGTGTCATCAAGTTGACTACCACTCATAGAAACCCTGAGAACAGATTGAAACCTATGCAGTCCAGTATGTGGCGGTACCAATTTCTCCTCCTCCTTCCTAACAATAGTTATTGTCTACTTTGTTATTGTAGCTATCCTTGTAGGTGTGAAGTGGTATCTCATTGAAGGTTTATTGCATTTGGTAATGACTAGTAACACATTAAGGAGTATGTCAGGGATGTATCTTTTCTCCATACTTTTTTTAATCTATATGATGAACAGATTTGTGAGGCTAGACTGTATGAAGAAATATGTGACATCAGGATTGGAGGCAGACTCATCAACAACATATGTTATACAGATGATACAGCCTTACTATTGAAACTGAGGAGAATTTGAAGTGTTTGCTACAGAACATCAAGGACTGAGCCTTCAATATGGATTCCATCTTAACATCAAGAAAACAAAAATCCTCGCCACTGGGCCAGTAGGCAGGATCATGATAGATGGAGAAAAGATTGAAGCTGTTAATGATTTCATCTTTCTAGAATCCACAGTCAGTACCCTTGGCACCCCAGCAGTCAGAAAATCAAAAGACAAGTTATATTGAGGAAAATCTGCTGTCAAGGACCTCTCTGGAATCCTAAAGAGCAATGATGTCAGTCTAGAGACTAAGATGTGCCTGATACAGGCCATGATCCTCTCAGTTGATTGCTATGCGTTTGAGAGCTGGGCAGTGACTAAGGATACCAGAAGAAAACTCGGTATTTTTTGAATGCTGGAGAAGAATATTGACCATTCCATGAACTGTCAAGAGAACAAACCCAAAGGCAACATATGTCTACTATATTCTCTTATTGATGAGAATGTACACAGTAAAATAGGTCCCCGCATTCAACAGTTTTTGTCCATAGTATTCCGTGCCATGGGTTACATTCTTCACATAATGTCAACATTCTCTCTCAATCTTTTTATTGTGATTTGGGTAAAAATTGAAATTGGCTTTCCATTAAATAGTTCATGTCCATTTTTATTCACAACATTGACTGTAATGTAATGTGAAATGACACTTTCACATCCTCCCCCGCATTGCTGATTCCTTGTGTCCTGCTTTCCCATCTTCTGAGCTTTGTCCCTGGGCTCATACGTACGTTTGTTTGTTCTAAAAAGTGAGTACCAGGCAGCTCTGGTGGCCTAGTGTCAAGAAGCTGCACTGCAGTCCCAGAGGTATGCAGTTCAAATCCACCAGATGCTCTGCTGGAAAAGGAAGGGCAGTCTCCTCCTGTACCAGTCAGATCCGATTTGACAGTACACATACACACACAAAATAATAAAGTAAATAAAAAAAAATTTTTTTTTAAAAAGAGTGAGTTACCTCCCTGAAGTTGAGGTTCACCCTGTAGACTTGTCAGTTTTGTGGCTGAAAATTAGAGCCGGAGCCAAGGGGGATGTTCGCATTTCCTTCTTTTACATGCTGTTAACCTGGCCTCACTGCCCCACAGCCTTTTCTGCTGCTTACAAGTCATTGCTGCCCATTTGACTTCACACAGTTGATTTTTTTATTTTTTTTTAAAGTGCATAGCACTCCCAGGTCATGTTTTTTTTGAGCTAACGTGCTGTGTGACAAGCAGGTGGTTTCAGAAAACTGACTATTGAGTTGCTACAGCACAACTTGTTGAAATGTATCAGGCACACCTTAGTCTCTAGACTGATATCATTGCTTATTGTTAGTGGACAGGTTTCTTTCTGGGCTGTCAGTTCTATTTTGGTGGTTCTGTGTCTCTTCTGATGCCAGTACTAGGCAAGATTACATAGCATGAATTGGTGGTGACATCAGTTGACCTTCTTTTTATTTCTTTATTGCTTGATTTCCCAGCACTGTATGATAACCTGATGGTTACTCACAGTTGGGATTTGGCAAGCTGGTTGGTAAGAAAAAAAGCCTTTATCAGAGACTCTTAAGATGCTCCCTCAGTGGCCTGCTGAAATGGTGATGCACAGACAAATGAGACCCGATGGACGTGAACGTGAGGCGGCTGTTTAAGGTGCTGGGATAAGTGTGAGTGCAGGGACTTTACAAATTTCAAACTGAGCTTCACTTGGAACTTTTTGTAAAGAAGGATGGGGTGACAACGTCTGGGTCTTGAAGGTAGAGTCGAAAGAAATGCCCCTAGAAATTAAAAAATAAATCATTTTTTTTAGTGGTTCAGTGGTCTGCTAACCTAAAGTCTGGCATAAACCCACCTAGCCAAGCCATTCCTTGGGAGAAGAATGTGGCAGTCTACTCCTGTGAAGATTTACAGCCTCAGAAACCCTGTGCAACGGGACCCAGAGGAGAGGTTTCCAGAATTTTTAAGCTGGAGTGATCAAAGTGTGATGGGCATTCTCACTACATGCATAAGGGATACTGGGTTTTGCAGGATCCAACCCAGGTGTCCATGGACACTGCATCCGTGAGGATTGAGGGAGGTGGAATGAGGACAGTTGCCTAGGGTGTAAGAAACGGGAAGGTGCTGTCAATAAGGGTGGTGAAGTAATACATTGATCAATATGGTGAGTTGATTTCCTGCTGTCCACAATGGTGAAATAAAGTCTGAAGCACCGGTAATGAAATAGCATTTGAAGTGTTATTGTCATTCCTGACTTTGCAAGGCTAACTGTGGGTAGAAGATTTCCTTGCCTGAGTGGCAGGAAGGGAGGTTAGAGCTTTCCAAGAGGGAGTTTGCCTGTGTGCCGGGTGACACACGTCTAATCCCCAGGAGCCGGGAACCGGGTTGCTGTGGCTAATTTTGTGTTCTGAGCCCCACACAGTGCTCAGTCTGTGTCCACTGTACAATTGGACAAGCAGTGAGTGGATCCTATTAAGAAAATGCCCTTAAGTAATTAGCCCTTGGAATGGAAAGCGAGACAAATTTGACTTGATTTTCTAGCAGTGCGTGCTCTGCTGTGAAGCATTTCCAGGTCATAAAAAGAGGGAGGACACTTTAATGTGGTTTAGATCCCTGTCCTCAATAACTCATTTCACTTTTTCCTCTTTAAAACAAATTTTCCCAGAATTACCAGATAAGACCTAGCATAGCAAGATCTTTATTAAAAAGAGCATTTCCACTCGGCCTCCTCTGCCTTCGGTGACTCCTGGGAAGTTGGGGCTTGTTAGTGACATGTTCGCCCACCAGCCTGCCTCTTCCCACCTTTGCCGCCTTGGCACTGGTTTCTTTGTGGGCCTGTCTCCAGGTAAACTCCACATAACTATCTCGATCTTCCTCTGTGTCCGGAGTCCTCCATTTGTGCTTCCCTCATCTGTGAGTCCCCCACCTTCCTCCCTGGCCTCAGAAGTTCTTCACTATACAGAGCTCTGCTCCCACATCTTCTTTCTACCTCCCCACTTGTCAGAGCTGCCTCCTTTCTCCATTCTCACCTGACATCAAGACAAATCTTTATTTATTGTTTCACATTTAGCATTTACATAAATAAAATGCATCCTCCTCTGCAGCTTGATAGTAAACTCTTCTCCACCCCTCCCTAGTCCTCCCTTGTAGTCTTGCATAAATATATGTAGTGTTGCATGCGTTTGGGGTGTGCTGGGAAGAAATAGTGGACTGTTGGGTAAGCAAGGAGGGGGTGACCTAATGAAAGCAGCTGTGGCCAGGTGTGCTGCAGCTCACTCCGTTTCCTTATCCCCCTTGTCACTCTACTAGATTCTTCCTGCTTTTAGAATTGAATGCCTCAGATGGTCATTTACCTTCAGAGTCTCAAAGAGGTGGACTTTTTGGGACAGCACCCTAATGGATAATGGCCCCAGAATTTCTTCAGAGCCTAAGCCACTTTGCAAAGAAAATAGTTTTTTCTTAAGGAATATTTGAAATGAAGGTTGTCAGGGACTCACAGTGAGAACAAAAGTGTTTCAGGAATAAGGTGGCAGTGCCCACCTGCCGAGCCTGTTAACATATGGGTGGGGATGGTCAGATCTGGCACTGCAGGCCAGTGGCATCGCAGCTTTTCACCCTCATCCACACATCTCGCTCAGCTTCCTAGCCCTCGTTCAGTCTCCTTTTCCTGATTTTATTTCTAAGTATGTGTTAGTGTGTGCTCAGTGTGAAAACAAATAGTGTAAAACCGTACAACATCTTTTCAGAGAAGTAAATTTTAATGGCGGGAACTATGTGATGTAATACTTTGTCTTATTTTAAGCAGGTGGTTTTGGAGGTAAACTACAGTTTGACTAAAAAATTGGAAATTCTGTACATTTTATTAATATTTATAGGCAAACTAGATAACACAAGTATACACATCTGTATGGGATGTATCTATATATGTCAGTTTCTCAGTGTACTGTGGTATCTTACAACAAACAGTTCCTTAAATTTAGAGGGGCAAGTGCTCGCATATGTTGTCTCCTAGACTTATTTTGTAACTTGTAAGAGGTTATAATCAAAGACTTAGAGTGTTGTAGTTCCTTTTTTACTGTAAGGACAAAGTCCAAATTCACTGTAAGTCTACTTTATTTTATAGGCCTATGAAGAATACACCAGCAAGCTAGATGCCCTCCAGCAAAGAGAACAGCAGTTATTGGAATCCCTGGGGAATGGAACTGATTTTTCTGTTTCTAGCTCTGCGTCAGCGGACACCGTCACATCTTCTTCCTCTTCTAGCCTTTCAGTGCTACCTTCATCTCTTTCAGTTTTTCAAAACCCCACAGATGTATCACGGAGCAACCCCAAGTCACCGCAAAAACCTATCGTTAGAGTCTTCCTGCCCAACAAACAGAGAACAGTGGTGAGTTGGCTTTTACTGTCATACTTTTGCTGGTTCTTCTTTAAAGAACAATAGTTAAAAATGAGGTAATCACAAGATATGCAAATAGAAGCATTCACCTTAGCAAGAATGGAAAAGACCGTTACCTGGTGCCTGTCTGTATTCCTAGAACATATATACTGTCTTCCTTGGCCACTTTGACGTCTGAACCTGTCTCTGAAACCTGGAGCACACACTGATGCCGATCTGAGTACTGATTCAGTCGGTCAGTTTGGAGATTTGAGCTTGTTTCTGGTGTTCCAGAGTCAATCTTCAGCCTTAAGAAACTTTTATGCAGATTTATTATCAAATGTTGTATTTTCTGTGTATTTTATATTTTTCCCCTTTATTTTCTAACTTGATTATTGATTATTAATTTCATAATTTGGCATACTGACCTGGTAAGTCGCATTTTGAATGAGGAGATTTGTGAAATTATCTTAGATGAATGCCACTTCTCAGGTGGAAAATGCCCTTATCAGTGACTTAATAATAATGTGTCGGTTCCATCACTGCTTTGTAAGCGTATGGCTGGTTTTGAGATCAACTTCTAAAGACATTCATTCCAATACAGTCAGAGTAGCTATTCAGTCTCTTCTCAGACAGCAGGAATGGAGTGTGTCTGCTACCGCTTAGGACCCTGAAAATGATTTTTAACTCAAAAGATTTAAACATAAATATATTTTTTTCCTTTTTACAAAGACATCATACGCTCACAAATTAAAAATTACAATTAGAATACTCATGGGGTCACCAGTCCTCAGCCTGTGGTTTGCTTTTCCTTCGGTAAGCTGAGTTCAATGAGTTTCTGGTCCGTGATTCATTGGCTGATATCCTTGCTGTCCAGATCGGCTTCTGCGGTCAGGAGGCGGCAGTCATAAAGTGGACTCTTGCTTTTTCACTTTGCAGACTTTACAGTTATGAAAGTCATTGATCATATGGTGAAACAAATTCTGTTTTTCCTTTTTCCTTTCGTCTTTTGAGAAGAATGAAATGTAAGTTTGGGGGTTTTTTTTCCATGTTAAGGTACAGAATCAATACCAGATGTCACTCCAGAAAGTAATTGGAACTTAGTTCTTGGCACTTGGGAAATTTGATTGCAGATTGGCTGTTAGAGTTCCTAGGCTTGCTTGTCATTTGAGGATTGTAGCAGAGCAAGCCTTGGGCACATGTAATTTCCAGTACATATGAAAGTCCTGCTTACCGCATCTTGTAGTCTTAAAAAAAGTTTATGAGCATGACCAGAGTGTGACACAGAAACACAAAAATGACTGCATGCTGTTAGAAGATGCTTCTGATAGACTTGTTCAGCATAGTCTTTCAGACCTGGAGTTTGGAGGAGAGGTAGGAAACTGAAGCATTCAACAGTTCTGCAAAGTGAAATGTAATGAAACAAGATAGGCCTGTGTTATGAAAGAATTACTGTTCTCGGTAATTAATAGAGTAATGGACTTTCTCTCAGTGTGATAGTAGCAACGCGGTTATGTACTAGAACATCTTGGTTCTTGGGAAGTTGATGAGCAGGTAAGTGTCATGAAGCCTGGGACTTTTTTAGAAGCTGTAATGTACACCCATGCAAGCAGGTAAGAGGATTCTGTCCTGCCTTCTCTGTTCCGTTGGACTTCATCAAAATTCAAAACGTCTGTCTTCAGATGAACATGTTGAGAAAGATGAGCACAGACGAGGAGGTGCTCTTCGCAGAGCACGTAACTGGCCAAAGACATGTATCCCCAACATACAAAGAACCCTCAAAACGCACACGGTTCAACTCCTTATTGGTCTACAGCTTATTGACAGCAATTGCCGTGTTTGACGGTGCAATTATGTCCTTAATCATTGTGATTTTTCACCACTGTTTTCTTGGCAAACGTTATTAATATGTATTTTCACAACAGGGCAAACAAGCCTATCTGCAGATGTTGCATATGTCTAGTGAGACGCCAGCACTCTCACTCAGTAGCTGCTTGTGCAGACAGAATGGGTTTATGGAGACTTTAAATAGAATAATGTCATGGGAGTGGGGTGAGGGAGGAGAAAAATTCAGTCACTAGGTACTAGGTATATATTAAGATGGTTCAAGGGAAAGATAATATATAAGATGATGTTTCTCAGCTACACCCATGACCACATTCAGTTTTGGCAGATGATATTTCCACATTCATATTAGTATATATATCAGAGTCAGCAGAGGAGGATGATGGTAGGTAGATGCCATCGAGTCAACTACAACTCGTAGAGATCTGTGAACAACAGATCTGAAGCCTTCCCTGTGCTGTCCTCATTATCTCTGGTATACTTGAGCCCGGTACTTCAGTCACTGGACCAGCTTAGTCACAGCCATATGCCCAGAAGAAATGAGTTACTAGTTTTAGAAATTCAGGACCATAGACTCGGGACCGTCCAGGTCAGTTGGTACAATAACATAACCATGAAGACACATGTTCTGCACCCTGTTTTGTTGAGTAGTTACTGAGATCTTATCAGCTTATGAGCAGCCATCTATAAAGCGCAGCTACTGATCTCACGCTGTCTGGAACACAGGAGAGGAAAGAACGCAAAGGTGCCTGATGGCGTTAGTCAGAAGGACTGTGACGGACCCTGGGAACCCACCGTCCATAACCCTGAGACCCCCGCTGCTGACCTCAGTAAAAGCGACCCCAGTAGAACATCCTGAAGAGAGGGGGTGAAAAACGTGGAACATAACTGAAAGCATATAAAAGGCCAGATTTGCTGGTCCAGAAAAAACTAGCCTTGAGTCATTCCTCAAACCTGGCATAAGACTCAGGCCCATGGCTCAGCTTTCAGCCAAACAGTGCACAGACATGTACGATAAGCAGTAAGCAGGCTCTCACAGCATAGAGTCAACTACGTAAGACCAAAAGGACAGCCTTTGTCCAGAGAGAAGGCTTAGCAGTCAGGAAGGGGTAAGATTGGAGAAAATCACAGAGAAAGAATAGTAGAGTTACAGTGTGGGTATTGTAGTTAAGGTCCTGAAACAAAATGTGGATGGATGCTGTTGATTTCCAGTGACCCCGTGACGAGCAGATCACACCTTGCCTTATCCTGCACCGTCCTTACAGTCTCTCATGCTTAAGCCCAGCTGTAGGGTCAGTCCATCTTGTGGAGGGCCATCCTCTCTTTTGCCGACCCTCCACTTTTCTAGGCATGATGTCATTTTCCAAGGACTGGACTCAGATATGTGAGACAAAGTTTCACCCTCATTACCTCTATAAAGAGCCCTCTGGATGCGCTTCATCCCAGGCAGCTGATTGGAGATCTGGTGTGCTTTGTAAACTTTCGGTCAAACTATAGTAAAATGGTTCAGAAAGAGCAGAGTAGCCATTTTGATGTAACAGCTATGGGTACCCTGCACTCACCAATAAAATACAGCACACCCTTTCAGGGCGCCGGTGCTGTTATTTGTGCAGAGGAGTTGGAACCAGCTCAGCTGACTGGCCAGCAGGTTCTCAGAGCCTGAAGGTCGCTCAGGAGCGATTGCCCGTCTTTGTCCTGTGGAGCAGCTGGTGGGTTCAGACCATGTGCCTTTGGCTTGGCAGCACAATTCTTGACAGCTCAACTACCAGAGCTCCCTCAAGAGCATATAGAATATTTAAAAGTAGACCACATTTTAGATAACAAATAGAATTTCCATGTTCTTTGACCATAATGTAATTAAAATTGAAATTAATAATAATAAAAATCTAAGATACTTACAAATAACTGATATATCAGGGAATGATTCTACCAGAAATAAGAAAATAGTTAGAACTGCATAAAGAATGGAAATATTACATAAAAAGAAAAATCAACTGTAAAAGTATATGTATGACAAAATGAAATCTAAAACTTAATGGATTCTGCTAAGAGTTATTAAGTTATTGGGAGAGGTCTATATTTGCAAGAAAGGTGATCCAACTGAGTGAAAATTATTGAACAATATCATTGATATCACATGCTAACAAAATACTGCTGAAGATTATTAAAAAATGTCTGGAACAGTACATGGAGAGGGAATTTTCAGAAGTTCAAGCGGGATTTAGAAGAGGCCGTGGCACCAGAGGTATCATTGCTGATGTCAGATGGATCCTGGCTGAAGGTAAAAAATAATAGAAGAATGTCTGTTTGTGCTTTATTGACTGTGCAAAGGTGTTTGACTGTGTGGATCATGACAAGCTGTAGCTGACAGTGAGAAGAATGGGAATCGCAGAGCACTTGATTGTGCTCATGAGGAACCTATACCTGGACCAGGAGGCTGTTGTGTGAACAGAGCAGGGGAGCACTGCATGGTTTGGAATTGGGAAGAGAGTGCGTCTGGGATGTATTCTGTCTCTGTACCTGTTCAGCCTGTATGCTGAGGAAATTATTCAAGAAGCTGGACTCTGTGAAGAGGAATGTGGCATCAGGATTACAGGAAGACTCCTCAGTAACTTATGTTATGCAGATGACACAACCATGCTTGCTGAAAGCGAGGAGGACTTGAAGCACTTGTTGTAGAAGATCAAGGAATGCTGCCTTCAGTATGGATTGTATCTCAGTATCAAGAAAACAAAGATTCTCACCACTGGACCAAGAAGCAATGTCATGATGGATGGAGAGGAGATTGAAACTGCCAACAGCTTCATCTTATTTGGATCCACAATTAACACCCTATGTAGGAGATCAGGAAATGAGGAGATGCATTGCAGTGGGAAAATCTGCAGTTAGGGACCTTTCCAAATTATTGAGGTGTAGTGATGTCAGTTTGAGGACTAAGGTGTGTCTGATTTCAAGCCATGGTCTTTCCAGTTGCAAGCTATTCATCTGAGACCTGAACAGTGAATAAGGATGACAGAAAAAGAATTGATGCCTTTGAGCTGTGGTGTTGGAGAACAGCACTGAACATCCAGTGGACGGCCAAGAAAATGAACAGATATGTCTTGGAGAGGGTACAGCCAGAGTGCTCTTTGGAGGCAAGAATGATATGGCTTCGCCTCACATACTAT